ATCCTTGAAGATAAGTATCAATAATGACATGCATAATAATTTAGTCCACTATGACTGAATGCTGTTAATATTGACTTATTTTAGAATCAATTATGATTTGAAAAATACTAGATCAAAAGAACATTTGCCATGTGCATATTAACCATACAAATATTTATGATTATTTTTATATTTATAATTTATTTCAAATTGATTTATTTGCATATTCATTTGATTCTCTCTCTCTCTCTCTTTTTTTTTTGTTTGAGAATTATGGCTACTGGTATTCAATTTTTGTTCACTTGTTTGTTTGAAAAAGAGTTGAGCATCTTAGAAGACTTAATACAAATGATACTTCTTGAAAAAAGAATTTTTATTGGAGGAGATTTAAATGAACATGTCGGTAGAGTGGTAGAAAACTTCAGATATACTCATGGTGGCTACGGTTTTGAAGTAACTAATGAAGAATGTAGAGCTATTTTAAATTTTGATTTAGTGTATGATTTTGTTATTACTAATACTTTATTCAAAAAAAGAGATAAGCATCTTATTACTTATAAGAGTGGATCTAATCAAACACAAATTAATTATTTTCTTATGAGAAGAAGAAAATGTCGAGATTAAAAAGACTGAAAGGTCATTCCAAGTGAGAATTTAAGTACCCAACATCGTTTATTAGTTCTAGATTTTAAGATGAAGAGTTGTAAAATAAAGAATAATATGACTCATCATCGTAGAATTAGATTAGGGAACCTAAAAGACACAAATAAAATTATTTTTATGCGTAAAATTCAATATTTCAAATTTTTGGATGTTTATGAAGAAACAAATGTTATGTGGGATAGTAACAAACGCTATTAAGCAAGTAGTAAAAGATGTGCGTGGAGAATCAAAAGAAAAGTTTTTTATAAATAAAAATAGTTTGTGGTGGAATAATAATGTGCAAGAAAAGATAAAATATAAGAAGTTATGTTATAAAAATTGGTTTAAATGTAAAAGCTTAGATAAGTGGGAAAAATATCAAACGACCCGCAGGAAGTCTAAAAGAACAATTTGTGACGCTAAAAATTTTGTTTTTAATTATCTTTATAATAAATTAGATACTAAGGAGTGTGAAAAATATATGTATAAACTAGCCAAACAAAAAGAGAAGAAAAGTAATATTTAACTCAAGTAAAGTTTTAATTAACACTACCATTGCCTGGTCCCAAGCCTTCCTTTTCGAAAAAAATCATGACATGAATTCTTTTGATTATTGTGTAAGTGTTAGGGCGTCCTCTGAACGTGACGCGATGTATAGCCTTAATACAGTGAAAAATATGCAAGGGTGACTACACCGGCGCCCGGGTGTAGTGTTAATAAGCAAGGGTTCACACATTACAGGCGAATGCAGGTAAAGAAGTTAGTCCATGAAACTAATGAATTTAGTATTATGATAGGATCTTGAAATATAGATACTCTCAATGGTAAATTAATGGAATTAGTTGATATTATGATTCATAGAAAAATTAATATCTTATGTATTCAAGAAACTAAATGGGTTTAAGAAAAGGCTAAGGAGATTGATAATTTAGGTTTCAAACTTTAGTATTCGGGTAAGAGTCGCACTAGAAATGGTGTAGGTGTAATTATAGATAAGAGTTTGAAAGATAATATTATAAAAATTAATAGAGTTTGAGATAGAATTATAGCCTTTAAGATTATCATTGATACTAAGATTTTTAATATTACAAGTGCTTATGCTCCTCAAGTGGGTTTAGATACAGGGTCTAAAGATAAATTTTGGAATGACTTAGAAGACTTCATACAAATGATACCTCTTGAAGAAAGAATTTTTATTGGAGAAGATTTAAATGGACATGTCAGTAGACTGGTAGAAGAGTTCATAAATATTCATGATGGCTACGGTTTTGAAGTAACTAATGGAGAAGGTAGAGCTATTTTATATTTTGTTTTGGCATATGATTTTGTTATTACTAATATTTTATTCAAGAATAGATATGAGCATCTTATTACTTATAAGAGTGGATCTAATAAAACACAAATTGATTATTTTCTTATGAGAAAAAAATATCGTCGCGATTGTAAAGATTGTAAGGTCGTTCCAAGTGAAAATTTAAGTACCCAACATCGTTTATTAGTTCTAGATTTTAAGATGAAGAGTTGTAAAATAAAAAATACTAGAACTCATCATCATAAAATTAGATGGGGGAACCTAAAAGACAAATAAAATTATTTTTTATGAGTAAAATTAAAGAGTTCAAAATTTAGAATGTTCATGAAGAAGCAAATATTTACGTGGGATAAAGTAACAAACACTATTAAACAAGTTGCAAAAGATGTGCTTGAAGAATCAAAAGACAAAGTTTTTATAAATAAAAATAATTGGTGGTGGAATAATAACGAGCAAGAAAAGATAAAACATAAGAAGTTTGTTATAAAAATTGATTTAAATATCAAACGGCCCGCAGGGAGTCTAAAAAGAACAATTTGTGACGCTAAAAATTTTGCTTTTAATGATCTTTATAATAGATTAGATGCTAAGGAGGGTGGAAAATATATGTATATACTAGTCAAACAAAGAGAAAAGAAAAGTAAAGATTTAACTCAATTAAAGTATATTAAAGATGAAAATCAAAAAGTATTTTTCTTAGAAAAAGATATTCAACATATGTAGGTGAGTTACTTTGATAAATTTTTTAATGAAGTTTCTGAAAATACAATCGACCTTAGTGATCTTAATATCGTGAATAATAATAAAAAGTTTCATTTTTACCGTCGCAATAGTAAAAAAAGAAGTTGAGGAGGCTTTAAAGAAAACCAATGGTGGAAAGTCTGCAGGACCTAATGATATCCCAATTGAAGTGTGGAAATATTTGAGAGCTTTGAGAGTTTCTATGCTTACTAAACTCTTTAATATTATTTTAAAAACTAAAAAAATGCCTGAGTGGAGGAAGAGTATTTTGGTCCCCATTTTTAAGAATAAAGGGGATGCACAAGAGTGTGCAAAATATATAGAAATTAATAGAAATTAAGTTGATGTGTTGTCACCCTACATGAAAACCAAAACTGTTAGGATAGACACAAAACCAAAACCAAAACTAAAGTCATAATCAATTTGGATTTATGTCACAACATCCAGAATGTAAGACAACTCAAAATTTAATCACAAACATCACGCAAAACAACAGTCATGGAGAAGTTCAGAGATAGAAAGGAGAATCTACATTTGATTTTTATTGATTTAGAAAAAGCTTACGATAAGGTTCCGTCATAAGGTTTCAAGAGAATTTCTTTGGAGAGTTCTGAGAAGAAAGGTGTAGATATGACTTATATAACAAATTAGCTTCACTTGAATCATCTTAAGGAAAGCAACTTAATTACATTCCTGAACTTATTTTTAAGTATTAGCATCCTTACTAATAGAGTTCTCATGCAACTCTTTTTCTTGTAATTCTCTTAAGTTTCCTTGGTATGATAAATTGCACTTATTCTTGAAATAAATAGAAAACCTGATGATATCCTTCTTGTGTATAAAAAGAGAGAAAAAGCCAAGGAAAAACTTAAATTATGGAGGTCTGCATTGGAGTCTAAAGGCCTTCATTTAAGTAGAACTAAAACTGAATACATGGAATGTAATTTTAGTAGTAATAGCTCTAGTGACAGAAGTGTGACTTTGTGTGATCAAATTATTAAAAGGTATGAACGATTTAGATATCTTGGGTCCGTTGTTCAAAGCGATGGTGATATAGATGGGGATGTTAATACTAGAATTCAAGTTGGTTGGTTGAAGTGGAGGAATGATTCGGGCCTTTTGTGAGATAGAAAAATACCGCTTAGACTAAAAGGAAAATTTTATAAGACGGTGGTGAGACCTGCAATGCTTTATGGCGTTGAACGTTGGCCTTTAAAAGAAAAGCATAATAATAAGTTAAGTGTTGCCGAGATGAGAATGATTCGGTGGATGAGTGGCTTTACACTTAGAGACAAAATGCAAAATGAATGTATCTGTGATAGGGTTGGTGTAACTCCTGTGAAGGACAAAATTAGAGAAAGACGTCTTAGATGGTTTGGTCACATTAAACGTCAACCATCTGATGATCCGATTAGGAGAGTAGATGTTTTAGATTCGACTTGTGTTAAGAAAGGTAGAGGTAGGCCTAGGAAGACTTGGGCTTATTGTATAAAAAATGATTTTAATTTACTAGAACTAAATGAAAATATGACACTAAATAGGACGCAATGGAGAAATAGCATTCATGTAATTGACCCCACGTAGTGGGATTAAAGCTTTGTTGTTGTTGTTTTTGTTTGTTTGAAAGATGTATACTTATTTTAAAATTTTTTATTCATCATTTTTCTATTCCTCAATGTCAATAAACAAGATTGTCAATATTTATGTAAGTTGTATGATTACAAGAAGAATAGTTCATGACTCATTTATTATCTTTACAATAAGATTTAACTAATTAGATATTAATTTCAATTTTATTGAAATTTTTGTTCATTTAGGCTCGTGAAACAATTTATTAAATATGATAACTACATGGAAGTTCATTTAATATTATTTAGTTATGAGCTTGCTTACTCTTTTGATTAATTTATGCAAGCCACAAGTCAAGCTCAACCATAGATAATTCTCAGCACGCCAAGTATGAACATATATGTGAGGGGTATGCTTGAATTTTAGTTGAATCTTAAATAACTTATAGTATAGACAGGATAAGTACAATACAGGGTGTACTCAACTAGGCTTGATTCGATTAAAACTATAAAAATGATGGGGAAAATGTTTGTTCTTAATTTATGTCTATAATGTTATGATTAGTAACAAAGACTTTATATCAATACTAAAAACTGAATGGAAGGACAAAAAACAAAGCTCAAATCTGAAGTCAATTGCTACTGCAGTATAATAATCGAAAACAGTTGAAGCTTCATTTTATTTATTTCACTTTACTTCAATCCAAAGAAATCCAAACCAAAAATATAGCAATTAATCAAAATAATAAAATGCTCACCGCGATCAAAACATCCTATATTCCGGGTTATTGTGCACCATCTGAGCTACGCTGAGAGGAACTTTCACTATCAGAATCTGCACATCAGTTTTATTGTAAATTTCTTTGAAGGAGAATATTAATTATTAAAGAAACACAAATGTTGAAAGAAAACAACAAATGAATTATAGGTCCATAATTTTAAATTGAAAAAGAACATGCCATAGATAACAATATGGGTTTAAATAAGCTTTTTAAAAAAAATGGAATTTATAGAAAACTTATACCACTAGATGATGATCCAGAATCACTACTCGAACTACTTGAACTACTTGTTGGACTTGCATTCTTTCCAACCATTGTTCCTCTAACCGGTGACGAAGAAGCAATGATATTTTCAACTGTCACTGTTTTGGAAACACAAGGAAAGCTTCAGATTGTTGTACGAAATAGGGAATAACAAAGGATATTGTTACCTGTCTTGTTTTCACCCAGCAACTCTGAAGGGGCAGAATTAGAAACCTGGAAAAAAATAATAAAAAAAAATTTCTAGAAAGATCAGATCAATAAAAAATAAGTAATACAATACATACCATTAATTGTTCCCTGTTTTGGGCATGCAGCTCAGGCTCTGCCTTTGAAAGCATGGCAAGTTCTGCCTTCCTTTTAATCTTGCTCAAACTTTTCTTATAATTGGTTACAAACCTATCAAGTTCCCAAAGAGTCTCAGTATCCACACTATCGATGTCCACCTCAATCTCATCCTCATGTTGGCTTAGTGACAGATTCCTTTTCCTAATTATTTGTACAACCATATCCAGCTTTTCTGAAGGCAGGTTTTGAAGATTATTGCTCAATCTCTGCTTCTCCTCAAAGGTCATTTCACGCTTGTTCGGATCCTTGGCCTTGGGCTTCTTTGAAGCCGGAGGTCTCCCGATGTGCGTTAACTGATTCAATGATTTTGTCTTCAAATCTGCCGCCAGGGGACTAACGGTGGAATCCGACCTCTCTAAAGTTCTCTTCATTTCAAGAGGTGGCAACCTCTTCATTGATAGTGGAGAACGAAGATACGCTATATCAGCCTCAATTATAGGCCACCGCTCCTCGAATATCTGCAGAAGCTGCTGAGCCATGATGTAAACATCCTGCCCCTTTGGATTATAAGTCATTGCATTGTGGAAGGTGAGTCTAACATCCTCAGCAAATTCCTTGGGAGCTTTGTACCAGTTTTTACTCAATCTGGATTTTATAGTGCTGAGATCCATGGGATGTGTAATAATTTTGTGATAATCTGAGAGGCCAAGAGCCTCGGCGTCAACTGGAGTGTTGAAAACCCAACCGAAATTGTGTTTCATAAGCTTGGAAAGTAGCACACTGCATTTCTTAAAGGCCTGCTCATTGATTTTATTTTCCATAGACTGCCTTCCATTCTTGGTCCCACTCACCCTCGACTTCTTGTTGGATTCTGGTGGAAGCCTCTCCTTCCCAAGAAGAAAATCTGTATTCTTGTAGAACTGATTAGCCTTTGGGGTTCGCTTCTCCTTCTCCATGACATCAACAACGTCATTATCTCCACCAGCTGTAGCTGGAACTGAGACTGTCAATTGATGACGAACAGGAGTTGGGGCAGCGGCTAAAGCAGTCTCTGAGATTGCTGGCGCCCTTTTGATGGGGAAAAAAACTCCAAGAACATTGGCAGAAAGCTGAGAAACGTTGTGCCCTAGAGGAGAGGCGATTTTTGCTGGTGCCTTTCTGATGGGGAAAGAAGCTCCAAAATCATTGGCAGAAAACTGAGATATGGTGTGTCCTGGAGGAGAGGCGGTTTTTCCTGTGTCGTTCATGGAAAGCTGCATCTGCCGGGCTTCTATTTTCCTTACGAGAGAACGTATCAACTCTAGCTCAGAAATAAGATTCCTACGTAGTTCACGAACCTCATGTTTTTCCTTTAAAGCTAGGTTGATGGTTATTACCCTGTTCTGACCATCAGGGAGTCGGTGATTGGCGGGCTTGGGATTGAGACTGGAGGTGTCGTAGTCAGACGCAGCAGATAACTGGTGGGGCACTGCTGGCTGGGGGTTCTCCAGAGGCTGCAGAGGTGTTTTTGGCTGTTGGAGGGGGGAATGGATACCATCGGAAGTGGTGGCTAAGGTTTGCTGCGAAAAAGGGGGCTGATTTGGCGTGACAGGCGCGGGGGTTTGATTCGAATTGGGCTTGACGGTTTTGTTGTGTGCTTTGCGGGTGTAAACCTTGTTTACCACCCAACGCCTCTTCTCCCGAGAATCATCCTCGCCGCCGTCCAACAGAGGGCCAGATTCCATACATCAAACGACGCTATCTCCTTCTATCTCAAACACCGGACAAAATCTTCGGGAGCCGCAGATCTAAATTTTTTAGGGTTTGGGATAGCGCTAACGCGGGAGAAATATTTTCGAGAGACAGAAAACTCCGTTGCAATGAAAGGATCCGAATCGAGGAATCAAATGAGAAGAATGAGATGAGGAAGGAGATAGAGCGCTAGGGTTTCAATGAACCAGAGAAAAAAATACCTTTGTTCGGCTCCAGTAAAACTTCCCCTCATCTTCTGGCAGGAATCTATCCAACGGCTGTGAATTAGGCTGTTATATAAAGTGCGGTGATGTCTTCCATTAACGATAGTGCAGGAAACTTGACACAATCGCGCGCCTGGAAAGAAACGCGTAGAATGTTCAGATCGTTAGATACCTTTAGGGCGGAGAACGGTGAGGATCTTGTTGCGAGCCGAAAAGTCTACGAAAATGACAGCAAAATGAGGCGGAGAACGGTGAGGATCTTGTTGCGAGCCGAAAAGTCTACGAAAATGACAGCAAAATGAGGGGCGAACAAAGAAGATCGACGATGGTGTAGAAACTGAAAAGGGAGCCGACGTTAGCTCCCCTTGCAATAGGTTTCATAGGGCCGATGCATATGCAGCGGGTTTTATACGCTTAGATTGCGATCTTTTTGAGCCAAATGAATGTGTTTAACAGGTCTAGTAGGCATAAGAAGCGTTTCTTCAAAATATAGACATCATAGGTTGATTCAATGATTGAAGTAAATGTCATCATTAAAGAATGAATATATATTCGTGTTTATTTATGAGCTGTCTTACGTTCACATCAACATCTCGTTTGGATATGGTGGACAAGTTTCTTACGGTACGATGTGATTTTATATTATTTTCTCTCTACAAGGTCAAGGGTCATCTATAAGTCAAATAAATAGATTCGTCTTCTAGTCTTCAGGTGCATCTTCATCATCTTAATCCTCTCTCTCTTGGATCTCCCCATGCTGTATAAGCTCATGAGCGATACAAGTCCCTACATCTTAAAAAGGATTTTGTATCGTGAACGATGACGTGAGCGTGGAGTTAATACTCAATTCTAGCTAGAAGATCTTCAACACAAGGGATAATGAATAAAAGAAATGAATTGCACTTGGGAGTTTTTGATGATACAAGAAGTTAAGGATGATGATACAAGATACAAAGCAAGAAATTTCATGACTCATTTCAGGGTATGTGTCAAGATGCACACAGGATCATCAAGATTAGTGGTTAGTAGATAGGAGCTGTTGAGGACAAAATCAAGAAGAACTTTAGCCCCGAGACATAGGGGAAGAAGAAAATGAGTTGTATGTTTGAGGGGAAGAACTTTAGGACTCCTCATAAGAGGAAGAGCAGGAGAGAAGACAGAAAAAAAATAAATAAATAAAAACAATCATAGAATATTTTTCAAGGAAGATCGCAAAAGCTAGAGCCCCACCTAATAATGTAGCTTCATTTGAGTCAATGTTTGTCTACTAGGTATAAATGATATCTTAAAATATCATTTTTTATGACTAAAGGAATTAGTCTTATGCTAGTTCAATAACTTGTATGCAGGAATCATTACTTCTTTTGACAAATTTAAGTGGATGTTCGTCACCCAGGTCGCCAACACCCAAAAAACACATAATACCTGTAAGGCTTTTTTAAAGATCCAACAAGAGCTTTCAGAGTCTCAGAAGTTTCATCACCAAGTACCAGTGAGAGATGCTCGACGTGAGGAATCTAGAACCCACTATTGCTTGTGCAACATTAGCTCAAGGCATGTGTGAGGGCCCATTTAGATACACTCTCGATTTTCAAAAACCGACAACTCTAGCTAAACTTTTGGAGTAACCAACAACCATATTTTAAAAACCAAAAATTACTCCTTAACTTGCATGTTGAAACCAAAATTCCCTGACCAAAAGTTGATAAAGAGAATGTTAGAAATAATACATAAACCATCTCGGTTCCCTCAATACATAAACCATCTCGATTCCCTCAATGGAAATTACTTTATTGAGAGTATTTATGGATGAAGTTGTTAAAGCCATACAAAATAAAGATTGCTTCAAAAAAACTCTTTCCAATGTGGGCAGGAAGTCACCTGTTTGACCCAAGTGTGTAATGTGTCTACCATAAAAATCACGATCATGATACAGAGGACTATCAATACCACTGAAATCTCATTGAAGAACTAATCCGAGCAAGAAAATTAGAGGAGTTCATAGCCCCGAACATGAAAATCTGGAGAGGAGGAAAAGAACCTACTAAAGACGCAAGCAACAAACCTGTTATGATAAGAGTAGTACATATCATCAATGTAGTACCAGCTATCTTTGAGGAGGATGAGCCTAAAACTTTGCAAAAACCCAATCTGAAGTGATTGAAAAAAAGAGGTTGACTCTATTACTCTTACAATGTCAACCACAAAAATATATCCACCCATAACTTCTATAGATGTAGATTTGCCAGCTGATGGCAATTCCTTCGGTAATACTATCACAATCATTATGTTAATCACAAACTTCAAATCAAATGTATCCAAATAGATACTTAAAATTTTGTCAACATCTTATTTAAAGAGACTTTGAAAAAAAGAGCACAATCAATATTCAACTTGTATCTGCGTCTCATCCACTCTATGATTTTTTTTTTAAGAAATAAAATAAACTTGTAGAATAATATCTTTATTAGTAATCGAGGGAGAAGGAGAAAAATAGTATAATACCTCAACTAGTTTTGTCATGCTAGATTATATCAACATCTTCGTCAAGCTAATGCTCAACACTTTTAACGTTATATCATCTACATATCATGTGGTAGTGAAAATTTTGCATGAATGACAAATCATTACCATCTAAAAAGGCTTGGTCCAATCTCAACCTACATAAGATGGGAAATGCGTAGAAAGATTTTCACCAGCTTGATACCCATGAAGGTAGCTACTTATAAGCCATTTCCACATGAAAAATAAGCATGACATTTCAAATCGGCTCTTCCTTTAATAGAGAGAACAAATATCAAATAGTTGTAATCCTAAGAGAGCATCATGACATATTTGTTTGGACCACACAAGAGATACCAGGAGTAAGTGTATATTGCTTACTATTTAATCACGACTGTTTATATGCAACAGTATAACAATAGCTCTGATTATCTTTTTCACTTATATTTCCTTATTTTGCAACAAAACCAAAAACTTGATCCTGAAGAAAAATAAGAATTTAACTTTTTATTTTATATACATTAGATACTACGCAAGTATACATATCATTATCAAGTAATATAGGACTTTTCTGATTAAGACCTGAGTATCAATCCCACAGAGAAATGATGTAATATGCACTTTTGAAAAATTTATATTTTTAAAAAGACAATTATTTAAACTATAGATGTTTTTGCAGCAATGAAAGTTTAAATATTTTTGATATTTTTGATATTTTGATAAAATAGTAACAAATTAAAACGATAACTTGATTTTTAATAGAAGAAAAGCACTAAATATAAAAATATCTTTCTCCCTATCATAAATCAGTAATAAGTATAGGAATTCTGTTATGGAAGTATGCAAATTATGTTGTGTCAAATAGGAGCAATAATATTATTTACCCCCCTTACTAGAGATGCTATAAAGAACATTGGCTAATTTAAAGTTTGAATAGTTCTGAAGACCAGCTAGGCAGGGAAGATACCAGCTCTCACTCTAGAGCTCCCTTGATTCCCTCCACCTGGGGCTAACATCTCGTATCAGAACCTAAAATAATAAACCAAGTTGGGGGCTTTAACCTGTCACTTTAAACTCCTCTAACTCTACACCCTTCAATGAATATTTTCTTATTTATTTGCACTCAATCATATGAACTACATTCTCATTCATACAACCTCATATGATTCTTTTCAATTGTTGACTGAGACAATATCAGCCCGGTTCTTACATGTTCTCACAACATCATTTTAAGAAGAAAGATAAAGAAAACTACTCAGAATCCATGGAGAAAACAAAACCACACTTTAGTTTAAAAGTAGAAATCATTGTCAAACCAACAATAAGTCTCAATTAAAACCAAAAGTAGTCTAAAACAAAAGATAAAACTTATCTCAAATCCTCCAGCAAACTCTAAAAGTTCATTTGAGCCTCTTCTCTTCTACAACACTCTCAATATAAAATTAAAACAAAAGGATAAAGTAAATATTAAAGTAAATATTTGGTGTGGAAACAAAAGGATAAAGTAAATATTTGGTGTGGTGCCTGAAAATCTCTCCAAACTAACTCCCCAATTTCTTTAAATTTCTCTTTTCAAGCATCTTTTCAAGCATACACATACTCAAAGTTTCAATCTTCCTTCTTTTATAATATTCCAATCTATGCATTGGTATCTCTTCAAAATATATCTTGATTCGATGTATTTCCCCAAGTGATGCCTCATTTCACAAGTATTTTTGTCCTTGTTGGTTGTAACCATCTATTTATGTCAAAAAGTGTCTCAAATACCTCTTCAAAATTCACAAAACCGAATTTACTCATCAAATAACTGCCTATGGGGCTTAAGCGCGGGGCCTCTAACACTAAGGTGCGGCCTTCTCTGTTGAACCGACACTTAAGCGTCGGATCTGCCGCTTAGTCGCCAAAACACTTTAGCACAATTTTCACCTATTTGCTTCAAATTTGATCATTTTTCACTTCTTTAAGCATTTTTCACCTTTTTACTTGTACCTGAAAAAAAAATACAAAAATATCTTCCATTAAAGTGCAATATCTCAAAAAATAGGTATAAAAATATGTCTAAAAATATTATATATTTTAGGTGTATCACTATTGACTCAATTTCAATCTGGGAGCCAGACTGATAAATCAAAAGAAGAGGATTGTAACTACTGCTCTAGTTGAACTAGTCCAACAAGAGATCCAAAACCTAATGGATGCAAACTTCTTAAAGAACTGTGACACCCAGTTTAGCTAGAGAATATCATGATGGTCCATAATGTCATCAATAATGGGAAAATAAGTGTCGACTTCACCAATATGATTGCAACATGCCCTAAGGATAATCATTTATCATGGATTGATGTGTTAGTCGACTCAGTTGAAAGGTACATATTATGAGCATCTCAGACACATTCTTAGGATACCATCAAATAACCCTATAGATGCAGAAAAAATTACCTTCATCACTAAAGAGGGTGCGTATTATTTTAATGCACTACTCTTTGACTTAAAAAATATTATGGCTACTTGCCAAGACTAATTGATAAAATTTTTAATAATGAAAAAGAAAAAATATTGAAGCTCATAATGATGACCTTCTAATCAAATGCAAATCAAGGCTTGGAAGAAACCTTCAATACTCTGAGAATGGTCAACTTAAAGCTTAGTCCCTTGAAATGCACCTTCAGAGTGTCAAAGATATTTCTCATATACTTACTTACCCCTAAGAGAATCAGGGCAAACTCAAAGAAAGGTAAGGCAATTATTGACATATAACCTCAAAGGATTCTCAATGAATTACAGTGCCTAAATGGGTAGATTGCACGTCTGAACATGTTCATATCCAAATTAATTAATTGATGCTTGATATTTTTTAATATTATGAGAAGCTTTAAACACTTTTTATTGACATAGGAATGTGAGAGAGCATTTGAACAACTTAAATTTATATTATCGTTATTGT